CATCATGTGGTTCCTCTGGAGAACTGCAACACAGAAATGAACCTTGAGAAGGGGAATTTTTGCCTGGCTCCTCTTTCTGTATATTTGGGATTGGTCTACATGAATACAAAAACTGTACACTCACCTTGAATCCAGCACTGGCAGTTTATATAGCACACAGTGAGTTCTGGTAGGTTATACAAGTCTTTTGCCCTTACCCCAGCTTTGCTCTGATTGAAGCAAAATTGGGTGATACTCCAGAATTTGCAAGAAATTCAGGAGCATCCCAGCAGGCACATCTGAACTGACCATATTATCCAGGTTAAAGATGTGGCAGATACAAAACATGTGCTACCAAAGTGTGCTGCACTGCAAATTAAAGCAAGTAGATGTCAATGTACTCATCTACACAGAGAAACTACTTTCTCCCAACCTGTTCCAAACCAGCCTAAGTGGTGAGTGTAGATGACTCCCTAAAGATCTGCAATCAGCTGGATCACTGGGTGCATTTTGACCTGATCCGCTGTCCAGGCTGACACTGCCACCATCACCCTTTTCCTGCATTGCTTCCCAGTCTTGACACCTAGGGCCCATCTACACTGCAGAATGAATGCAAGTTGACACCACTTGAACTGGCAGGTTGACACCACTTGAAATGACCCCCTCTCCCACACAGACACACCATTTCACAGCTGTCCCCAGCCACATTCATTCATTAGGCGATCCCTCGTAGTCTGAGGATGATGGTACTCCAAGTTTGGTGTCCTGGCGGTGGGTCCGTAGGTGACTGTGGAGCCCTATTCTTGATCTGCATCTTGATCCTGCAGTGAGGGCATTGGTTTCCAGGCGGAAGGCGGTCTCAGTCAGGGTTAGCTTGATGCGCCTTCCTCTTGGCACGTTCCTCTCTTTCATCCTCCATTCTTGCCTCTTCAAATTCTGCAGCATTGCTGGTCACAGCTGGCCTCCAGCTGGAATGCTCAAGGGCCAGGGCTGCCCAGTTCTCAGTGTCTATGCCAGAGTTTTAAAGGTTGGCTTTGAGCCCATCTTTAAATCTCTTTTCCTGTCCACCAACATTCCGTTTTCCATTCTTGAGTTCAGAATAGAGCAACTGCTTTGGGAGACGGTGGTCGGGCACCAGGACAACATGGCCGGTCCAGTGGAGTTGATGGTGGAGGACCATCGCTTCAATGCAGGTGGTCTTTGCTTCTTCCAGCACGCTGACGTTTGTCCGCTTGCCTTCCCAAGAGATTTGCAGGATTTTCCGGAGGCAGTGCTGATGGAATCGTTCCAGGAGTTGCATGTGACGTCTCTACATAGTCCACGTCTCACAGGCATATAGCAGGGTTGGGAGGACAATAGCTTTATAAACAAGCACCTTGGTCTCCCTACGGATATCCCGGTCCTCAAACACTATCTGCTTCATTCGGAAAAATGCTGCACTTGCAGAGCTCAGGCAGTGTTGTATTTCGTTGTAGATGTTGACTTTGGTGGTGAGGTGGCTGCCAAGGTAGCGGAAATGGTCAACATTTTCTAGTGTTACACTATTAAGCTGTATCTCCGGCATTGGAGAGGGCTTGGCTGGTGACTGCTGGAACAGCACTCGATGTTCAATGACAGGCCGAGCTTCTCGTATGCTTCTGCAAAGGTGTTTAGAGTGGCTTGTAGATCTTCTTCTGAATGTGCACAGACGACGTTGTCATCAGCATACTAGAGTTCTATAACAGATGTTGTTGTAACCTTGGATTTGGCTTTCAGTCTGCTGAGTTTAAACAGCTTGCCATCTGTCCAATAGATGATTTCCACTCCGGTGGGAAACTTCCCATCAACAAGATGGAGTATCATAGCGATGAAGATGGAGAATAAAGTTGGGGCAATAACACATCCCTGTTTGACACCTGATTCCACCTTGAATGGGTCACTTTGGGAGCCACTGCTGTCCAAGACTGTTGCCATCATGTCATCATGGAGGAGCCACAGGATGTTCATGAATTTGTTAGGGCACCCGATTTTTTGGAGGTTGGTCCAGAGAGCGCTATGATTCACTGTATCGAATGCCTTTGCAGGGTCAATGAATGCCATGTACAGAGGCAGGTTTTGTTCCCTGCATTTTTCTTGGAGCTGTTGTGCAGTTAAGATCATGTCCACTGTTCCTCTGGAGGGGCGGAAGCCGTTCTGGGATTCTGGGAGGGTGTCTTCTGAGAGGGGTAGAAGGCGGTTTGCAAGGATTCTTGCGAGGATTTTCCCAGTGGAGGTTAGAAGGGAGATACCTCGTTAGTTTCCGCAGTCTGTTCTTTCCCCTTTTTTGAAAAGGGTGATGATGGTGGCATACTTGAAATCTGCTGGGATTTTCTCAGTCACCCAGACTTTTTCAATGAGCTGGTGGAGTTGGTGTGTCAGGCCAGGTCCTCCCTCTTTAAAGATTTCAGCAGGGATCCCATCCGGTCCTCTGGCTTTGTTATTTTTTTTTGTTGGCTGGTGGCATTGGTGACTTCTTCCAAACTAGGCAGTGCTGCAAGCTCGTCCCTGGCTTATTGTTGCGGGATTTGTGAGAGAACCTGTTCGGCCACATTGGAGCTGCGGTTCAGGAGGCTTTGGTAGTGTTCTTTCCAACATAGTGCAATTGATTTTTGGTCCTTCAGGAGTTTGGTTCCATCTGATGAGCATAGAGGCTGTATGCCATGGTTTCTTGGTCCATAAATGACCTTTGTGGCTTTGAAAAATCCCTGAGCATCATGGGTATCTGCCAGGTGTTGGATTTCTTCAGCCTTCTTTGTCCACCAGATGTTCTTGAGTTCTCTTGTTCTTCTTTAGACCTCAGCTTTTGTGCTGTCGTAGATCATTTTCTTAGCAGCACAGTTGATGTCTCTCTGCCATGTTTGGAAGGCTTTCCTTTTCTTGTCAATTAGCTGTTGGATCTCATTGCCATTTTCATCAAACCAATCTTGATGTTTTTTGGTTTGAATAGTTTCTTCACAGGCTGTGATGATGGAGGTCTTCAGTTTGTTCCAATGTTCCTCAACATTTTCGGGGTGTTCTGTGGGTAGATGGTCCTTGAGTGCTGTTTGGAAATGGGCTCGTCTGGAGGGCTCCTGAAGGGCTTGGGTGTTGATTTTGTGCCTTGTCTTTCTTCCTTGGAGTCTGCGCTTGGGGGCGATCTTGATAGCCATCGTGGATCGGATCAGCCTGTCGTCAGTCCAGCAGTCATCAGCACCTGTCATGGCTCTTGTGAGGAGCACGTCATGGTGGTCTCTGGCCCGTGTGATTACATAGTCTAAGAGGTGCCAATGCTTTGACCGGGGGTGCTTCCATGATGTCTTGAACTTGTTTTTCTGGCGGAAGAGTGTGTTGGTGATGACAAGGTTGTGTTCTGCACATTTGGTGAGAAACAGGATGCCATTCGAGTTGCTGTTTCCAACCCCATCTTTTCCTATGGTCCCTGGCCACAGGTCGAAGTCTCTCCTGACTCTTGCATTAAAATCCCCCAGGAGGATGATTTTGTCCTCCTTAGATATCTTCGGTAGGACGGTGTCCAGCTGACAATAAAAATTTTCCTTGATGTCTTCATCAGCATCTAGTGTTGGTGCATAGGCACTTATGATGGTTGCCTGTTGGTTTTTGGCAAGATCCTTTCAGAGGATTGAGAGTTGTTAATTGATGCCAGTGGGTGGTTTGGTCAGATGTTTCACCAGATCATTTCTGATAGCAAAGCCAACTCTGTGCATTCTTTGGTCTTCTTTGGGCAGTCCCTTCCAGAAGGAGGTGTAGCCTTCTTTTTCTTCCTTCAGCTGTCGCTCTCCTGCTCTCCGGGTCTCCTGAAGTGCTGCTATGCAAATGTTAAAGCATCCCAGCTCCCTTGCAATGATGGCAGTTCTGCATTCGGGGCGTTCACTGTCAGTGTTGTCTATCAGTGTCCGTACGTTCCATGTACCGAAGTTCATTTTTCTTTTTTGGCTGCAGGGTGGTGACCCCACTGAACGCGGCAGTCCCATCAGGGATAAGAGAGGCAGACTATGTTTAGGGCACCTTTTCTAGCCCCTTCCCCGTGTGGGGTGAGCAGAGTGGGTCCTAAAAAGGGCTGCTCAGCCATGTATACAGCTGCTGAACTACTCAACTGCCTCGGACCTTGAGGTAGAACATCTGAGTCCGTACCCACCGCCCATGTGCCAGTCTGTGACTAGTGGCTTCCAGATTTCACAGTCCTGCTCCCGTCGCCACTCGCTGATCGCCATGGGACTTTGGTTGGCTTGTTTTTTTTTCCTTGGAAGACACCTGTGCGTGAGTTTTTTAAATGTGTGGAGGTCAGTGCACAACTGATCAACACACAGTCTTCACAGAGTGGTGAAGTTTAACACAATGACCATGGCTTCTCAATCTGTTGCAGCCTCCTTCCGCCTTCACATCCGTTGTAACATGTACCATGTTACCCTCTGCCTGCTGTTGATGTCTTTGGGTCTTCGGACTGTGCTTGGTCTGGAACCTCCCCCGCGGCCACTCCTGGGAGTGCATGACTCCGGTTGTTGTGCCCGCAGGTTCACTGAAACACGCAAGCCCCCTCACCACGACAAGGTGACAGTCCATCGAGTCCATCCCCAGCCATAACACACCCTCCTACCTGGTTGTAGGAGATCTGGCAGCCTTTTCAGTGTGTGTAGTCATTATCCAGGCTTCAAACTAGTTCCAAAATTGCCAGTCTAATCACCCACATCCCCAAACCACTTTCTTCTATGCTGGTTTGAAACTGACCTAAATAGTCTGTATAAATGTGTCCCAAGTGGGGCCCTGTTTGCCCTAAAGTCCCACTCCAACTGACTCAGAAGCTTTTCTTTCTCTGGCTGGGAAGGTTAGAATGTCTTGCCCTTCACCTCAGCAGCTCAGGGCCAACTAAAAGATTGAGCCCAGTGCACTGGTTTTGGTTTGGATGACTATGGCCATATCTATACTATAGAATGAGTGCATTTTGACACCATTTTAAATACCACTAGTAAAAAAAATAACAAGAGCAGCTTTTATGCATCACTCACCTCTATCACTTCCTTGCGGATATTGACAATGCGGAACCAATGCGGAAGTTGTGGAAAGCCTTCCAGCTCGGCATTGCGCTCCTGTAGGGCCACCTTACGTTTGCAAGAGAGCTGGCGGCTAAAATACTTCACCAGTTTGGTCTGGGGAAGAAAAGAGAAAAGGAGTGCTCATACATTACATACAGCATGGGTACAGTCTGTACATGCATGTACACCTCAAGTCCAAATGTAGTCACTCCCAGTTCCAGTATTGGGGAAAAGCAGAACATATATGAATAAATGATAGTAATAAAATAATAATACACAGATTGTGGCTCTGCACACTCTTACAGTTGTTCACAAGGAACATTCACCATGGCTACACTGTGCTAGGATTGATGTTTACAGATATTTTGCATAATGTAATGAGTATGCGCTCTTCCATGGCTTTCTGGCCTAATTGTAGGCGCTAATTTCAATTTAAGTGTACCTTGAACCAAAAGAGTTTACCAAATTACAATAGGTTCAATAAGTCTACTTTAGTTGAGACTGCCAATTTGGCTGAGGCATCTGGATGGTATAATACTCAACTATCACAAATTCCTGAAATCAGGAATGTGTTGTTCTATGTGCCATATTTAAACTCAAGCAATTGTAGTAAGCCCTCTGTATCTACTGGGATTTGGTTCTAAGACCCCCATAAATGCTAATAGCTGTAGATGCCTAAGTACAATTCTACACAGTAGTGTAATAAAATGGTATCCCTTTTACAAATAGATGAAATTGAACAACTCAAATGAGTGCTGGAGAGAATCTGAGGATCTATAAAATGGTGGGTGGCTACAGCAGGGTAAGCCTATATATTGGCATAGTGCTGAGCACTTGGCAAAATCAAGGTTTACTTTTGGGGATTTTTCCCCAAATAGTTTTGAGCGATGGTTGGTGGAATTCATGGATACAAAACCCATGAATGCAAAGGATTGACTGTGTATGCATCAAAACACTGGTGCTTCTCTACAGAAAGCAATACTTCCTACAAGGCTTAGCAAAGGCGGGCTCTCTCCTGAAAAGTTCTACCTAACAATTATACATATGTTTTCGATTGCCAATTTATATATTTGCCATAACTGCTATGAAATTTTGAAAATGGAGTAAGGATCCCAATAAAACTAAAATCTTGGCTAGACAAGAAATTATTCCATAAGAAAAAAGAAAGAAGGAACAGCACAGATAGGACTACAATTTAAGTTTGAAAACTAAACTTGAAAAAATGGAGGGAATAGAATTCAACAGCTAGTTAAGGTGACAGATGTCCTTTTTTAAAATCAGGGATGCTCCCTCTTTGAGGGTCAGCAAGCTTGCCCCTTTTGGGACTGGCCCGCATCTCTTCTTATAAGGGATGTCCCCTATTTGAGGCTGGAAAACTTTTTTTTTCATATAGACTGAATGAGATGCCAAAAATGCCCCATAGTTGGGGATGCGAGGCCTTCATAAAGACAGAAACATAATTTATGAATGGAGAAAGTCAAGGCAAAAGTTATCTCCAATCAACACTTTTATTTGGTATTTTGGTAAAACATTAACTTGTCCATGGCAACGTTCTCATTGTCAGTGTTGCAGGTCATGAATTTTGACTCTTCCTTATTGCTGTTAGGAAAACTTGGCCACATTACTCATGTCAGGCCATCTATGTCGATGCAACCCTCAGCCTAACATTGTCTGGGTTCAAAGCCACAGCTGCGTGACTACTGTCTTGAAGGTATTAATGGCAGTTCTGTCCCTGACTTTTCTGGTTCATGCTTTTATGCAATCTCAAATGTCACCTCAGTCAGTGCCTTTCCTAACTCACAATCCATATTCCCTCTCAGAGTTACCACATACACAAACAGACACACACGCGCACACACACAAATACTCCCCTCAAAATCTCAAATCACATAAAGCATTCTGCTTTGGATATCTTGTGGGGGCTGCGCTTTACATGCTTATGTAAAAGAACTGGTAAATGTATCCATCAAAACCAAGGACCTTAACCTTTTCTTCCATTTCAACAATGAGATGCAGGCATTAAGAAACAACACAGTCAACTCTGAGTCATTTATTTCATTTGGAAGCATCAATAGACAAACACATTCACAGCCGCAATTTCATTTAGATCTGTGGAAATATTTATTAATATAAACGATAAACTATCTTGCACACTTTGGTTTCTGGGGCCATTTGACTTCAATGCCTCACTTTTTTACTTGAAAAGTCCTTTAAATTGAAATTTCTACTATATTGTGTCAATTATTGCTTTTCCTTTCTTTACATTTACATGATTCTATGATTTGTATATCTTTTAAAAGTGTGTGTGTGTGTGTTAAAAGCAAATGTTTGCTCAAATGTGAAGGTAATTGTAAAGTTGTACATTAGATTGGTTACTCTGCATTTAAGAAGATTCTAGTACCTGGCTACAAATCATGAACAGAGAGACAGAGATTTGCACAACCATCTGAATGAGTGTACATAGAATAATAGAGTTGGAAGAGACCTCGTGGGCCATCTAGTCCAACCCCCTGCCAAGAAGCAGGACAATCGTGTTCAAAGCACCCCCAACAGATGGCCATCCAGCCTCTGTTTAAAAGACTCCATAGAAGGAGCTTCCACCACACTTCGGGGTAGAGAGTTCCACTGCTGAACAGCTCTCACAGTTAGGAAGTTTTTCCTAATGTTCATAGCAGTATGAACATAGGTTCCGAGAGTAACATGAGAATGCCCCAGGTAGCAGGCGTGGGCAACTGCTCCACGGGCTTTATTTCATACCTGGGATCCCTATGAAGTGTGCTACACTGACATAAAAAATAAAGCTACACATTTTTCTTTAGATTTATTTTAGCTGAGTTTTGACAGGTTTTGTTGTCCTTGTTGTTGCAACAGGAGGCTTGAAGAAGTAATAGGGGCAAATTAAGGCAACAACTTCATCTTATGTACAAGTCCCCTGAATCCATGGATCTCAAATCTGGGGTTTCACGTACTCACTGTTCACACAACACCCTTGGGCTTGTGGGGATAGAGCAAGAAGAATTGCTGCTGCCACCGAGACATTGCTGGGTAGAAGCAGGGAAGACACTCATACTTTTTGCAAATGTCAGAGCTGAGGAAGGTATCTAGCATATGCAAAAAAATGGGAAGCCAGCAAGAGCAAAAAGAGTATTCACTATCACCCTCCATTTCATGTATTCATGGGCATTTCTCCCCTTCAATAAGAATTCTGCCTTCTCTACATGAAATGTTCTTTCAGTCCCCCAATTTTTACCACTGCGTAACTGAAAAAAATCCGTTGGGCTTTTGGAGGGGGAGGTTTATGCATCTGAAGGAAAGGGGCAGGCAAAGGAACCAAGATAATGTGAACACAGCAAATAGGAGCATTTAGGGAGTGGATTATTTTTGAAGTCTTGATCCCTGCAATGCTAGGAAGTTGGGAGCTGATGGAAAACATCATGTGGTAGGGCAGAATTTGTATTTGAGAAGTAATGCTGCCATTCCCATCCACCCTCCTCTGGTAGCTGCATGCCTTGAAAAAAAGTTGTTCCTTATTGCTCTTGGGAGTAAGATTGAGAGATGGGTTCTAATAACAAGAAAGTGGGTTGCAATTAAAGATTAGGAAGAATGTGTGGCTGGTACAAACTACCTGGCAAGCTGTTTGGGCAGGCAGTGGACTCTCCATCATTTGGGGTTTGTAAGTAAATGCTGGGTAGCCATCTATCAGGGTATAAACAGGAGATTACCTCCATCAGCTGGGGAATGGACTTGTACTTTGAGGTACCTTCCAATTCAAGTTCACCGTTTTGTTTTTGTTTCTAAGTCATGAACAATTAGGTGGAAAAAGATCTAAAATAACCACTGCTGGATATTTAGTCATTACTCCTTAACATAAAAGGCTTGCCCAGGCTGAGTGATGTGTGCTCTTGACAGAGTTAATGGCAGACAATGCTAGTTTGTTCCAAAGTTGATCTAATTCACGTCCCCAAAAACTTCTCAGTGAATCTATATTTTACATTGTCACATGCAGATGAAGCAACTTTGGGGGATGCCTGCAAATCTGTACTGTGTGGAGTGACTCTTTGACCCAAGATAAATGCTTATATAGTTAAGTTCAAGAGATATTGGCCTATGGGACTCATCTGTGTAGTGAGCACCAAGCACTTTAGACTGGTGCTACATGTGGCATTGTATATGTGGATGTACCAACATCAGAAACACCTGGGTTCTAAATTAATGGCTTGAGAAGCAACAAGACTAGCAGAGTTTTAAATAACTGAATACACACAAATAATAATTACAAAGAGTTCTCCTGGCAGTCTTTCTCAACCTGGGGTCTTCCAAAAACTTTAGATTACAACTCTCAGTATCTATTGTAATTTGCCCAGCCAGAAAATACCAATTTTGGGCAAGGCTTTTTCACACTGCACAATGTTTGCAATACAATTCCATTTGCTCACTAGCAGGAGAGGGTAGGATGTGTCACTCTCCAGCACCCAAGCCACCAGGACCTCAGAATCCTATCTCTTGGGATAGCCCGCTGGCTTTTGCTGAGCATTTTGGAGGTCAGATCAGAAGATGAAGCACTGCTATAATCTCAGCCACTGGTTGGACTCCAGCCTTAGCCACACATCAGACATACCGAGATCAGCAAGACCAGTTTAGCATACTAACTGAAATCCTATTATGTTTCATGTTTTTGCATTGATGATGGTGATCTTCATTCATATGCCGCCAGGGCTAAAGGCAGCTTACAAATTAAGATACAATATAGTTAGAAAAACACATGAAAGATAAGCATTAAAATGATTAAGTCTGCCTCCAACCCATTTAGCATTTGCATAAACATAGCTTGCATTTGGAGAATGCCACTCTTATCCAGTCAAAGGCAGAAGGGAACCTCCACGCTTTGTGTTCTCCGTGTATGTGTTTTAATTTTGGCTGTTGACTTATAGCAACCTATGGAATTTTAGAGGGTTTTCTTAGGCAAGGAATACTTCAGTGTGAGTTTGGCGGCCTCTTCCTCTAAAATATAGCCTTACAGAAGTTGTCTCTGTTAGGGTGCAGTTCATTATTCCTTACACTAGGTGGCACTGTGGAATCTATTCAAATCTATTTTATACCTTTGTCGTATTAAT